CTCTTGTTATTGGAATATATATTTGTTTATTTAAGATACTTGGTGCCGGGGTAGGAGCTGCTCTTGTTATTGGAATATATATTTGTTTATTTAAGATACTTGGTGCCGGGGTAGGAGCTGCTCTTGTTATTGGAATATATATTTGTTTATTTAAGATACTTGGTGCCGGGGTAGGAGCTGCTCTTGTTATTGGAATATATATTGATACTCTCTCTTTCTCAGATGTAAGCTTTATGAAAAAGTATTTGTTGAACAGTTCCTCCATTATTTCTGAATCTGAAATGCGCAAGTCACTTTTTCAGATGTTTAGAATTTTGCTTTTTTGTTTAAATAAAATTATCCAGCAGTTTAAGACCCATATCAACATGTTTTGAAAAAATTGAAAAATTACCTTCCTCTATGATTGAGGACCTGTATTTGATTAAATAGTTAATTACTAATTGAGTTTAATTTCTTTTAATTTTTTCTTTTAGAAATGTTAATTTCTTCTTTGCTACTGTATAATTTCTGATAATATAAAGAATTTGACACTTTCGATTAAAAAGTTAGTATTAGTCACTATCCCCAAAGTTTTTACATTTCCATTATTTTTAGACTACTGATGAACTTGCCAAGGTGCATTCTAGTGTTTTGGCCAGTAGTCCGGGACTAGCACAGTCTATAATTGCACTAGTTTTAGGTAAAATATATATATATGTGGTATACCATGTTTATTGACTGATGAGGATCGAGAGATCTGAAATCTGTATTAATAAATATGAAAACTGAGAAGCTGTTCTGATTATTGCTTTAAAGTTAAATATATATAAATATTTACAGGGTGTCCCAAAAAAATTGGGTGCTGAAGAAACAATTCACGTTGAATCAAGACGACTTTATGAAATCTCTTTAAGGTTTTAATTTTTTCTTCCTATCCTAGTATCCCTTCTTTGAACATACGTCGAAAATCGATTTCATTTTATTTTTTGTCATTATTAAATTATTAAAATTATAGATTTTCGTGGATTATCCTTCAGCCCCCAATACCCCTACAACGTATTTTTGGGACACCATTTATAGGGATGTTAACGTTTTCTTTTTCGTAAAACGATCGTTTCGTTATAAAAATGCGACGAAAAATCAAAAAGAAACGATCGTTTTAAAAAACGAAAGTTTTTTAAAAAGTTCGTTTTTTTAAAAATGGTTGTTTTTGAAACGATTGTTTTTTTAAAACTTGTCGTTTCGTTATCGACGACCCTTCGTTAATGATCGTTAACGACTACCCTTCGTTAACCATCGTTAACGACGACCCTTCGTTAACGATCGTTAATGAAGAGAGGAAACCGACCTGAAGGAAATCTGTACTTATCAGTGAGTACTAATCAATGATAAGTACTCAACGAGTAGTTTTTAAGAAAATATCAAGATGTTTTAGATCCCCCACAACTCTTTCACTTCATGTAAGACGACATTCACTAAAGGAATTGAGTCTTTGCCACAAACTCTGATTTTCTAATCCCTGTATCTTTGTATTCCAACGTCGTAAACCTTTGACATTTCAAACTATGTCTTTTGTTATATCAAAAAATATAAGTTTGAAATATCAAAGGTTTACGACATTGGGTTTCAGAGATATTGGGATTAGAAAATCATAGTTTGTGGCAAAGACTCATTTCCTTTGCATGACATTTTTTTCAAAAATGATCGTTCTTCAAAAAACTATCGTCTTTCAAAAAACGACCGTTTTTAAAAAGTTCGTCGTAGACAACCCTTCGTTAACGATTGTTAACATAAGTGTCAATAAAATTTTTCTTTTCAAAAAATGATCGTTTTTTTAAAGCAATCGTTTTTCAAAAAACACTCGTATAAAAAACGGTCACAAATCGTTTTCATAAAGACGATCGTTTTCAAAAACGATCGTTATTCGTTTTCTAAAAGTTTAAAACAAGTAAGTCGTTTTTAAAAGGATCATTTTTTTCCGAAAACGAAAAGATCGTTTTTGTAAACGATTGAAAAACGAAGCAAAAAACAATCGTTTTCAAAAACGATTAACAATCCTACATATATGCATAATTAAAGTAGTAATCTCTGTTCGTCTGTTTGTATGTCTGATCATAACTCATGAACCCCTTTAATGATTTGCTTCTAATTTTTATTGGGTAACTGATTTGGAAAAAAATGATGACTTTTTATGTTTGAGATTCATGAATCTCAAAAATCCGCAAACAAATTGTTATTTGGAAGACAATAAAAAAGGCAGCTTGAAAACCAGAAGTTAAAAGCTAAAATTGTTACTAGAAGCCTAGTGTAAAATAAATTCTTTATTTTCAATTTTATTTATTAGTTTGATTCTTCAAAGATTCTGTTATATTAATACTAAAAATATATCTTTTTTAAATGTGAAATAATATTTTGTTCTAAAAACCATATTAATTTTTTAATTATAAAACTAAATCATTTAAAAAAAGATTGTTCAAGTAAAAGATGACACTATAATTACATAGTCCTATGGGAAAGTAAATACATAAACTTGTAATATGTAACAATTAAATTTAATAGAACTAGAAATTAAACGAAAACAATTAAAACAATGAAAAAGAAATGCACATAAAAATTGCATTATGCATTAAGCTTTTCAAAAGTACTTTTGTTATATACAAAAACAAAAACATAACTGAATTGCTTTTAAGTGTTGATATTCTAGATAAGAAATAACCTTGTGTAAATATTATTTAAATCTCCTCTTTTTGCAATATTATATTAAATACCGCTGAAGCGCTTCTTATCAGAAAAACAACAAAATTGACCTTTTCTTATATGAAGACAAAACAGATAATATATATATATTCATAAAACAAACAACAAATCTTAATGATTTATGAGAAAAGTTGAGCCCATATGCATTAGAGCAAGGTTGTAATGCAATGATAGGTATTTCAGAAGTGTGTGCATCTTTTGTACTGCAGTGTACTGTCTCTGGGTGGTAATGTAAACACAAGACGGATGTTGAAGCCAGAAATGGGATCCATCTTTCACATAAAAAATCAATGAAATATTCTGGTCATAGGAAACTATTATGTGAATTATCAAAATTATTAAAATTTAATGCTTTTAACCTTCTCGGATACTAAAGGAACACTGATGCATCTATTTTTGTTTACAAATTCTGCCCAGAGAGACTGGTTTCAATATGTACGCAGAGTATTTGCATCTGCAATTAACTTTCCTTGCATTACAACCTTACATTAGAGCATCTTGTGCACATAATTATGTAATCAATATAAAAAGTTTACCCCCCGTGGCTCCGGTTTTCACCAATATTTCCAAAATGTTGATTAATTCTTTAGAAAAAGTTAGAATTAGATTTCAACAAATCTTAATTATTCATGTGGTACAACAAATTTATACATCATTTTTTTAATTCCTATTTTCTTTATCATACAATAGAAACTACGAAATAAAAACATTTAGATTTAATAATTAAGTAATGTAATAAAAACATTTTACATTAAATATTTTGGTTTTAATATTTTGTTTTCTTTAGATCAATTCATTGCCACATACCTCCTTCTTCTCTGTATTTTAGCAGTTGTGGAACAAGGTAATTTTTATAAAAAGAAGATATTCAAGAAATTAATTTTTAACTGTTATATTAACTCTGAAATGTGTCCTGAGGTTATAACCTAACTTTTGTATGGAGCATCATTAATCGTACATTTAGGGATACATGCTTGATCACTCAACTTAAGTTATTTTTGCAGGGTAGGATATCGAAGAGGAATTAAAATAATATCTATGTGTGCATAAGATAGAGATAAATGCTTAATTCCAAGATTTAATATACAAAAGTTCTGACCTCTCACCATCATTTATCTATCATCATAACAGTTTTAAATAAAAAATCTTAAGCTATGATTATGATTAAAAATTATCAAAGATGACTTTTCTTCTGTTGTATTCTGATAATGACTTTGTCCCTGTACTAACTAAATTTTAATAACTTTTATGTTCCTCGAGCCAGAAACTTTTAAACAGATAGAATTACGTTGTTTAACCCATTGAAACAACCTGTATATTTCCTATCTCTGAAATAAAGCTTATGAAATAAAGGAGTTGTAACACATTGATATCATTTATTGGCAAAAAGCCTTAGACAAATTTAATTTACTAGCCTTAGAGGGCGCTTCACGCCCATCTTCTAAATTAATTGTGAACATGTTCTCTTTGTGTACATCGTAAAACAAAACAAAAATAATTCGCGGATTTTCACAAAAAATTTCGTTGATTTTCAAAATTTTCAATAATGTAATGAAGATCGAATTTTGATGGAGACAAATATTTGAAATTTTGATCATTCATAAACCTTCCCTGGGGTCCCTAGATGTCCCACAATAAATTTGGGCTCGATCGTTTCAGCCGTTTTGACGTTTATTGGATACAAACAGACAGACAAACAAAAAGACAGACAAGCCAAATTTATATATAAATTTAAAAGAAATGAGTTTTCGTCAAAAATTTTTTAATTTTTTTATGTTTGCCCAGTGTTTTAGACCTTGGATATTTCAAACTCTAAATTTTGTTAAATAAAAAACTCAAAGTCAGAAGATATTGAATAAAATATTGAGTTTGTTACAAATAATTAATTTCCTTTAAATTTCATAATATTAGGCCACAGTCCTGGGGGCCTTCTTGTAGGACTCTCTGCAACTGCAATAGGTGACTAAAATCTTTTCAAATGATTATTTGTGGTATTTTGATTTTTACATTTCAATTTTAAGCATTGCATAATTTTCTACACATATCCATGTAATATTGAATACAAATTTACACTTTTACATTTTATAAATATTTAAATTATTATCTGAATCTGTCAACATTTATGCATTAAATATTTAACATGCTTGTCATTGAAACGTTGAAATTGTTAAAGAAAAGTTCACATTAACAAAATTTAAAAAAAAAATATATGAATGTTTTTAAAAAAGGGAGAAGTGTGGAGGGTAGTACGCGAAACTATCTATAACTGTTCGAATATAGCTATTCCTTATATGTATAGTTTTTTAATTCAAAATTTGAAATTGCTAAATTCTGAAAATCCCAAATTTGCATTAATTAGACTACTGCATGATTTTTTAGACTTTGTCTGAAAGGTCCTATTATTAATGAATGCAAAGTTGAAAAACCCTCAAAGTTTGAACATTTTGAACTTTTGACTGATCATCAAGGGTAAAGAGCTCTATTTGTTTATCTCAAAAATTCTGTTCAAATTGTTTAAAAACTGGCGATTACGCAATGGCGTAGAATGGGAACTTAAAACAACTGACATTACTCATTTTCCTCAAAAATCTCAAATATTTTATGTTTAAGACAATTTTAAAAAATTTAAATGTTCGTATTTATTTTCTGCAACACACCACTCTATAAATTGAGGGTCGAATTAAACAGTCCCTGTAAATAACGACACCCTGTTACTACCTCTTAAGTAATTATAAATAATTTTCATTTAAAAGGTCTGGGATTTGGAAGAAATGCAGGGGCTGCTGTTAATCCAGCTGTAGATGCTGTTCCTAGGTTAGGAATTTTTAAAAATCTGCAAATTTCAAAGGAATTGAGTCTTTACCACAATTAATCTCAAATTTTTTAATCCCCTTGGTCTTTATTAGCTTAAATAATCTAATTCCTTACAACTCATTTTACTTTTTTCAATATCGTCAGTTAATTAAATTTACATAACAGAAACATCTTGATAAAGTGGAGTGATTTGACAGTAAACATTGACAAAAACTGCTGAAAACCCATTTCAGCATAGGGTTTCCATTCGCAAAACTTTTGCGCAATTTTTGCGGAACGAAACGCAATATTTTTCTTTCTTTGCGCATCAATTTTGCGCGAAAAAACAACAATTTGCGCAATCATTCGCAAAAGTCATTTCGCGCAAAAATTGCCCTATTCCGCTTTTGCGAAACTCAAATTTTGCGCAATTCCGCAACAAGAGTTTTGCGCAAATCCGCAATTCCGCAATTTCGTAAAAATCAAACGGTTGGTGACGGTGTGTGTTTCTTAGAATTCAATTCTGGAAAAATCTTGTTTTGGAATGTCTTCCTATTGGTCACTTTTACATAATTGACCAATGACAGTTAAGAAGAGTTAAAATCTCACAATTTTCTCGACAATTTTAGTTTTGGACAGACATGCATATTTCCTAAAAGTGGATTCTTCAGACATTGGTTACTTTCTTGCATTATTTTATACGAGATTAAAAAGATTTCAGAAATTTGATTAAAGAAATTTAAGAATACAATTCATACTTGCAGATTAAGCAAAGCTTTTAAGGCCGGGTCACTTGAAATTATTTAATAGGATTAAAATATTGCCAAGTTTCACACTCTCTAATTTCTATTTTATTAATTTTGGTCCCTTATAATTTAAACTTTTTGTAACTGGAAGTAACCAATTGAGTGTAGTATAATCGTTATCATACTCGTATGTTAATATTTTTTTTTGTATATGGAATAAATCTTCAGTTGTTTAATTCTAAGCTTAGAATATCAATTTTTGACAATGTGCCTAAAAAGTTACATATTGCGTAAAACTTGCGGTTTTGCGCAAATTGCGCAAAAATAATTGCGCAAAACTAAAATTTCGTTTCATGCGCAACTTTCGCAAAAAATATTTCCGGTTTTGCGCAAATTGCGCAAAATAAATAGCGCAAAACTCATTGCGTTTCATGCGCAAAAATAGCGCAAAAGTTCGCAAAAATAAAATTTGCGTGAAAATAGCGCAAATTTTGCGCAAAAGATTTAGCCATTTCGTGGAAACCCTATTTCAGCAGTTCAATAGTTACATACATTAACATGGACAAAAACAATGACATATTGTGCAAAACTTTAAAATATATTCTTGATCATCAACAAAATCCTTAAGAGATGAACAAGTCCAAAAAAACATGAAAAAACTAATTTAGTTTTAGAATTAATTTCTGTGTTACATGAACATGTTCTATTATTTTATAAAAACCAAATAACGCTATTTTTATTCCTTGTCAAAATCAAAAGTTCGACCAATGGTTTATTTTTAGACTGGTTGGGTGGCTTTTTAGTGGAAAGACACCAAACACTGGTTTTTGGTTAATACCCCTTCTTGCTCCAAGCTTCGGTAAGTTTAAACACACATTGAAAATTAAATTTTTTAAAAATTATTATTTTTATCAAATATTTAGGTGGCATTGCAGCTTTCTATACATACAGGAAAAAAGAGCATTACATTTTTTCAATGGTGGATTTTTAATCTTTTAAATCTAAAATAATAAATTGTCAGTTTTAATTTCAGTCTATCTAACTGTTTCATGATAGTTTTAAAAAATTCCATTTATTGTTTATTGTAGCAATTTGACATTAATGCCTTATTACCCAGACTTGTAATTGGATTGAAAGAAGATGTAAAGGTAGAAGACGTTGAGGATAAAGAGATAAATGAAGAAGCTAAGCTTACTGCCATAAAGTCTTCATAAACATTAATTTGACATAAAATGATTTTAGTAAACAAAGGAACTGTTTGGTTCTACTCTACAACAATCTCAAACTTAATTTAAAAAGTTTTAACCTCAAAAGTTCTACAAATGTGCTGAGGAAAAGTGTGAAAATTAAGTTTATTTTCAGTGGAAGATACAAAATAGAACTCTTCATTGGTACTTAGTTAAACATATTTTTTGTTTAGTGTAAATATATGTATTTTGTAATTAAAACATGTCCAAAGACAAATTAAGTTTCTTCGCAAATCACAATTCATATTGGAATTAAAATAAAATGCTTCACATAGTTCTATCTCTTATCTTGGTGAATTAATAAACCAACTTTAGCTTTCTGTGTGTTTTTGATTAATATTTTTTCTACTTTGTTTAATGCATGCATTGTTCACTATAAAGATATAAAAAACGTTAGTCCAAATGTTTAATCTTTAAGTATCCCTATGGTTGAATCTACTGTTTTTCTTTTTTATTTATAATAAAGATTAATAAAATATATTGTTGTATACTTAACTTAGAAAGGAATTTTATGCTTAACATAGAGAAATGATAATCTGAATTTAACAGATGAAAATTACTAAACAATTTGATTAAAACAGTAATTGTTTTCCTTAATCTGGTATATATTAGGGGTATTTTCACATCCTAATTAGGATCAACTGAATTTGGATATTAATCTTTTTCAAATTCTTCATCATCTTCATCATCCTCATTGTACACATCATCCTCATCCTCAACCTCATCCCCATCCTTGTCCTCATTCTCATCATCATTCTCATCCTCAGCATCATTCTCATCCTCATCCTCATCCGTATCCTCATCCTCATCTTCATTCTCATCCTCAGCATCATCCTCATCCATATCCTCATCCTCATCCTCATCCTCATTTTCATTTTCATCCTCATCCTCATCCTCATCCTCATCCTCATCTTCCTCATCTTCATCCCCATCTTCCTCAACATCTTCTTTGTCTTTATTTTCTTCATCATATTCTTCATCATCCCCATAATCAATTCCATCATTTTCTTCTTCATCCTCTTCTTCATCTTCTTCTTGATTTTCTTCTTCATCTTCTTTTTCTTTTTCTTCCCCTTCTTTTTTTTCTTTTTCTTTGCCTTCTTTTTTTTCTTCTTCACCTTTAGCGGGTCCATTGACCATAGTGACCTTGAAAATTCTCATTTCTTTAAATTATCTTTGCCTTTAATAACTAATTATTGTATGGGTATAGCAGGATTTCAACCTTTATTGGAGTTCTCTTTTTTTAATATTAGCTGTGTTTCAATTAAATGTTAAACTTTTAATTAGAAAACATTTAAACTAACTGCACACATTAAAACATACTTTTGATCAATTTTTATTGTTATTAATTTTCAACCTTACATTTAACTTCCTACAGTAGGGAGAAATAAGGAATGTTCTGTTCTCTGTGATTGGAACCTCAAGGGGGGCACCAGGCACTCCTTGCTGAATAGATAAAGTATTTAATATTTTTCACTAAAACAACAAATTAGTAATAAAATATTTAAACTATTCATTTTCTTTGTTCATTGTTTATACCCTGTGGCTGCCTATGAATCTGTATGTATAATTCTGTTCTTTATCAGCATAATGTCTGACCCATTTCCAGAGACTCTTCATTCTTAATTCAAATTCAAATCCTTTAAAATGTTTGCCATCAAAGTTCAATTTTATAATCTTATTTTAAGTGTAAAAAATTAATGTTTTCACTTTTCAAAATAAAAAGTTTTAATCTAAAAGAAGGTAAAAAACAGAGATGAATAGTTCCTTGTGTATACACCTGGATAGTTGACTAGAGCACATCCTTTTCCACGACTAAATAATGTATTACAAGGCAATCAAAAATTTCTAGAGGATTTGGATTGGGTATTAAATTATTCTAATACAATAACATATCAATAAAGATGTTTAAAAAACAGTGGGGTTGGGGAAAATTTATTTGACCTTAAACAATAGAAATATTTTGTGATAGATCTAGTCCCATTGGTAGCAAAACAAAAAAGCACACCAATCCAAACATTGATAATGATAGATCAGTAATAATTCCTGACTATTCCAATGAGAACTGCAACATTCTTGAGAGTTCCATTATGTGTCTTTAAATCTTTTTCAGTCCAAAGGGGACCTCCACTATCACCTGTTAAATAGCAAAAAAACAAAAATGAGGAATGTTTAATTGATATGAAAGAACTTATTTAAAGTATAAAATTGCATAAATTAAGCAATAGCATTTTTATCCAGAAACCCCATAAAATCTTTGATGGCTTTTTACATTCTGTATTATATATATATATAAATGCATGATAATATTTATAGTAAAGTTGTAATCTCTATTTGTCTCTCTGTTTATTTGTTTGTTTGATTATAATTGGGAACGCATGGACTGATTTGCCTCAAATTTTGATTGGGGAACTCAAGAGACCCACAGGAATGTTCTTAATTTGCTTTTGAGATTCTAAGTAGAGTGGGTCGACTTCAAAAGAGAAAATTTAGTTTTCTGCTAAAATTGTTCAAGTGCAGGTAAACACTAAACAGGGGGCTTTTAGTAACCTTGGCAGAGCTGGGTTCCCAAGCTAGTATACAATGATTTTAAAGATAGGAAGGAAACCTCACCTTGACATGTATCTGTTCCCCCAAACACCATATTAGTTCTTATTGAGTAGTTGCCCAGACCTTTATTGTTATCTATTCTTCTTGATCTAGGATTAGAATAAAAAACTCATATTTTTTGTTGGTAGTAAACCTTCAATATTTCAAACTGAGATTATTTGATCTGTTAAAATTTATGTAATATGTAAGGAGTAGATAATCAAAGTTTTATTTTCCAAGGACCAATTCCTTTAAACTATACCATTGATATGTTTTTGTTTATGTATCTTTGAGTGGGAACACATTTTCATAATAAAATAATGAAGCTATGGTTATGTGGTGGATATTGTGATCTAGAAAAACATTACACTCTTAAAACAGGTTTAGATAATACGGGAGTAAAGAAAAAAAACACTACTCTATCAAAATATCGTAATGTTAGGTTTGAACTTTAGATTGAATAATAAATTGTATTTTTTTATATTATTACTTAAATTTTCATATCTTGAATGATGAAGGGGAAGGGTTACAGAGCTGGGGGGAGGTTGGAAATGGTCAATTTTAATATTATACTGTTTTCCTATATATAGTGTGTATTGACTGGGCTTTTGGGTTTATTTAAGACCGGCTTGTGGAAAGCTTTTTTGCTATTACTAAAGCATGAGTTTTTAAAGAAAAACATTGAAGATTCTAAAACACTACTTTTGTTGAATATTTTTCCTGATTTGACAACTTCAAAGATAATTATATATACTTTGACTGTACTGTATGTGATAAAAATGTGAACATATATCTTTTTTAAAAGAGATTTTTTGTCCCGAGGACATGATCGGGTTGTTACAATCAAATCTCGGATATTTTTTCTATTGCGCAAGTTTGGTGTTGTTTGGGTTTTTTTATATTGATCTACCAGGGGTTGTAATCTGGCAGCACATTCATCCATCCACGCTTCATTCATTCTGAGAAGAGGGTTGACAAGATTCCAGCTACCTAAGATTCTTCTTAGGCCTGAGAATATAGAGTGCAGGAATCCTTCTGATATACTGGAATGAGGCCCGGGTGCCATACTGATAGGAAACATCACACTCATTGCTCCCTAACATCTGTAAGCCCGGATTGGATACCCCCAGGTACCTATAGCTGGCAACCATAGACTCTCCCTGCTTGTCCACCATTCCTCTCTTCATCATCATTCACTTGGATCAATCCCACTTGAAGCTTCTTTCTTGTTGAGTAGAAAGCACGAACCCTTTCTTTGCAAGAGTTGTTGACAGCCGCCCCTCTGTCCACCTACATCAGTCAGATGGTCATAACTGCTTAACTAGAACTTCGCTTCAGATGTTATTGAAACCACAGGTTTGTGTGGAGTACGGGAATTGAACATTGAACACCAGTCTGGACACCAATCCAGTTACTGGCTGTGGACAAGTGTGCTTAACTTCAGTGATCTAACAAGAACTAGTGTCACACACTATCAACCCCACCCCACCTATCCACCCCACCCCACAAAATCCACCCCACCCCATATATATCTGCATCAAATACCTACTCCATAACAATTTACTTGAGACATATCTATCCAGGTCTACTTGTTACCAAGATCAACCAAGAGTAACTTCTCAGATTCTTTAGGCCACCAGGCAATATCTCAACCAGGATTAACTCCCAATCTCTAAATGACACACAGTCCAAATCTCAACCAGGCTTAACTTCCCAGTTCTAAAGGACACATAGTCCAATGAAATTACTACACAGGCAATTTCTCAACCAGGCTTCAATCTCAGGTTCTTGATGACACACAGGCCAAATCTTAATCAAGCTACACTTCCCAGTTCTAAAGGACACACAGTTCAATGAAGTTGCTAAAGTAAAAAAAGCGAAAATTATGAAAAAAATCTGAAAAATTTTGCGATAAATGTAGAGTTTATAAAAAACAAATGCAAAATTTTAGAAAATCCAATTTGGGTATTTGAAACAATGTGAAATATAATATATTGTATATATTATACATTGTATATATATATAAAAATTGTATATATATACAATATTGTTAAAATGTATAACCTAGTGGAAAAAATATAAGTATTTAGTTTTAAAATAATTCAATTCCTAGGATGATTTAATTTCTACACTGATTCAATTTTTACAATGATTCAATTTCTATGATGATTCAATTCCTACATGATTATTTCCTATGATAATTCAATTTCTACATGATTAAGACCATCGTATTACTTCGTTATTGCACAGTTATAGTTTAAGGTGTGTATTTAAAGGATTAAAGAGAATAGATATAATACCGTTCATCTTCTCTGCCCATTTTTTATAGCATAATTTAAGTATGTTGCATGATTTGAGCTAATTTTGTTAAGTATTCGATGGAAATGCAGTTTCAATGAATAATATCATTATGTCTAAGTTTAAAACATTAAACCATTTATTTTAGGGCGTACAACCTACTGCATGTTTTTGCTGCTTTATTGCCAATTTGTAATAATATATAATACATAAGAATTTATTTTATTCTAAAATACCTTTCTTGTCAGAATTGAAGAATTTATCGTTTGGAAATTAGTTAATCAGATTCAGATATAAATTTGCAGTATATTGACAATTTTTATGAATGTATGTGTATAATAAGATATTTTGTTATGTTTAATTTATATATGTAGTTGATTAATTCAACACTAATTTAAATAAATAATTACATATTCTAGTAGGTTTTTTTTCTGTGCAAGCATTTTTTCTGGTAGTGTTCTGTGAGTGTAGAATTTTTCTAGGTACACCGCAGATATTAATAATTAGCAAAAAGATTTTAATTTGCAACATGCATGTATCAAATACTAGGCAAAACAATTTTCTTTATTTGATTTATAATTTAATACCTAAGC